CATTCATAAGAGTCACCAGAGTTTTTACGTGGAAACCATGAAAAGAGGGAAAACCATGGGTCCTGACCCAGTTTGAATGAATGCACTAGTATTTGCAGTCGATTATAAATAAGGCCCTTCTTTGGGAGAAGGCATTGGCTTTATGTTACAAATGTACGTCATGTAGAGCGCATTACATTATGGGAGTTTTAATAATCAACATAAACATGTTTGTTTGGTTGGAAGGGCCATTAGAGGTGATGGAGGTCAGAAGGACCGTAGTCGACAGGAGACAGAGATCAGAAAGACCATTGTTTGACAATGTAGGTCGGAAGGACCGTAGTAGGTGATGGAGGTTGGAAGGACCGTAGTCGGTAGGAGAAGGGGGTTCGAAAGATCGTAGTTGGAAGGAAACTAGGGTCAGAAAGATCGTTGTCTGTTAATGGAGGTTGGAAGGACCATAGTAGGCGACAAAGGTTGGAAGGACCGTAGTCGACAAGAGATTGGGTTCAAAAGACCATTGTTTGGTGATGGAGGTAGGAACGACTATAGTAGGCAATAAAGGTAAGAAGGACTGTAGTCGGCAGGAGACTGGGGTCTGAAAGAGCATTGTAGTAAGCTGTAGTCTGGTAGAACTCTGGGTGTCAAGTGGTGGCCTAGTAGAAGTCTGGGCCTCAGGTGGTGTTCTGGTATAACACAGGGTCTAAAGTGGCAGTTAGGCGGAAGTCCGAGCCTTAAGTGGTGGCTTGATGAAGCATAAGGCCTCAAGCGGTAGTCTGGTGGAAGTCCGGGCCTTAAGTGGTGGTCTGGAAGAGGTTAGGGCCTCAAGTGATGGTTCAGCAGAGCAACGGTGTCAGGTGGTGGTCCGCTGGAGGTGAGGGCCTCAAGTGGTGGTCCGGTGGAGCAACGACGTTAGGCGGTGGTCTGGAGGAGGTGAGGGCCTCAAGTGATGGTCCGACGAAGGCGAGGGCCTTAAGCAGTGGTTCGACGGAGCAACAATGTTAGCCGGTGGTCCAGTAGAGGTGAGGGCCTCAAGTGGTGGTCCAGCGGAGCAATGGAGTCAGACGGTGGTCCGACGGAGGTGAGGGCCTCAAGTAGTGGTCCGGCGAAGGCGAGGCCCTCAGGTGGTGGTTTGACGAGCAACAGCGTCAGGCGGTAGTTCGGTAGAGGTGAGGGCCTCAAGTGGTGGTATGGTGGAGCAATGGCGTCAGGCGGTGATCCGGCGAATGTGAGGGCCTCAAGTGGATATCCGGCGAAGGCGAGGGCCTCAGGTGGTGGTCCAGCGGAGCAACATCGTTAGGCGTTGGTCCGGTGGATGTGAGGGACCTCAAGTGGTGGTCTGGCGGAGCAACGAAGTTAGGCGGTGGTCCGACGGAGGTGAGGGCCTCAAGTGGTGGTCTGGTGAAGGCGAGGGCCTCAAGTAGAACTCTGGGTGTCAAGTGGTGGCCCAGCAAAAGTCCAGACCTCAGGTGGTGTTCTGGTATAGCACAGGGCCTGAAGTGGTGGTTAGGCGGAAGTCCGAGCCTTAGGTGGTGGCATGGTGAAGCACAGGGCCTTAAGCGGTAGTCCGGTGGAAGTCTGGGCCTTAAGTGGTGGTCTGGCAGAGGTTAGGGCCTTAAGTGGTGGTTCAACGGAGCAACGAAGTTAGGTGGTGGTCCGACGGAGGTGAGGGCCTCAAGTGGTGGTCTGGCGAAGGCGAGGGCCTCAGGTGGTGGTCCGACGAATGTCCTGTGGTGGTCCGGAAAAAATCTGGCGGTGGTTGAGGAGGCGCTTATTCCTTCTCTTCCTTCTCTTCTCTTCTTCTCTTTTTTGCTTCCCTCCCCTCTTAAGAGAAATGAGGGGCCTATTTATAGATTTATGGAGTGGCATGACCCAAAAATAGGTAAGAGATCAAGGGTAAATGAGTATTGGTTGGATGGACAGTCGATATTGAATCCTTTGATCATGTATCGTTCGTCAGCCATTTATAGGCCTTAATGATGTCAAAATTTGGCGATCTTGGTCTCGTTGGATTTTTATCGTCGAGCCGCTTAATTCGACTATAAGCACGTCAAGTTTGAAAACTATTTAGTAACCCAAATTGTGGTTTGAACCTTCCAATAGTGCTTCGGGTCCTTGATCTGGATCCATTTGGACTCGGTTTGAACCTTCCAATAGTAGACAAGAGACTGGAGTATGAAAGACCATTGTAGTAAGTGATACTCTGGTAGAACTCTGGGTGTCAAGTGGTGGCCCAGCAAAAGTCCGGACCTCAGGTGGTGTTCTGGTATAGCACAGGGCCTGAAGTGGTGGTTAGGCGGAAGTCCGAGCCTTAGGTGGTGGCCTGGTGAAGCACAGGGCCTTAAGCGGTAGTCCGGTGGAAGTCTGGGCCTTAAGTGGTGGTCTGGCAGAGGTTAGGGCCTTAAGTGGTGGTTCAACGGAGCAACGACGTCAGTTGGTGGTCCGGCGGAGGTGAGGGCCTCAAGTGGTGGTCCGGTAGAGAAACGACGTTAGGTGGTGGTCCGGTGGAGCAACGACGTTAGGCGGTGGTCTGGCGGAGGTGAGGGCCTCAAATGATGGTCCGATGAAGGCGAGGGCCTTAAGTAGTGGTTCGATGGAGCAACAACATTAGGCGGTGGTCCGATGAAGGTGAGGACCTCAA